CCGCAAAAAATCGGGCCCGATCACCCGCGTTCAGGCTCTTTCCCTGCCCGCGGTCAGCTGCAACTCCCTCCAACTCCAACTGATTTCTGTCGACTGGGGTCCTGCTTTTTATTGACGCCGCAACAAACCGGGGTGGGTCCGTCGGCGTCAGGGGTTTTTCTCGATAATTCCAAAAGTCGCATTAATTTCTCCATTATCGCTATTGTAGATGCTTTTTGGTGGGAGGCGCATATCCATCTCTCTCGGTCTCTCGTATGTCAGGTGACCGCTTTCGACTAATGAGATTCTGATCGAGCATTTCTTTCTTTTCTTTTCCCAGCCACGTGACCGTTTTTTCGGCTAATGGGATTCTGGTTGAGCATTTCTTTCTTTCTTTTCTGCAGCCACGTGACCGTTTTCGGCTAATGAGATCCTGATTGGGCGTTTCCTGCAATCAATCGGGGCGGCTTATATCGTTCTTGTTCTAAAAAACAAAATCTAATTTTTCCCTTTTTTTTTTTTCGCACGTACGAAAAATGACCATCTTGGCCTTCTCTCACCTGGACTTTGTCAAACAGCCCGCCGCTAATTAGACTTGACTTCAGAAAGGATCTTTTTCCGCCTTCTTGGCGCCCTCTGTGAGCCAAAAGCAATTGTCCCTCTTTTTACCTCTTTGTTTTTCCTGATAGTCAAAAATCTTAATTATCTACATTGAAAATGTCTCCACTTTATTATTGTGGGGGTTCTAATTTTTAACAGGTCAGAGCCTGTATACCGTTCCACCGGTCACTCCCCTCAACCCAAAAACACTTTTCTCTGATTAAGATTGTTTCATTGTTCCCAAAATTTCTCTTTATCCAAATTGATAAGGTGTCTTTCTCCGCAAAAGTAGGCTAGATGCTTTGACCGATATCTGGTTTCCATCAAGCGGTGTTTTGATATCATGTCTTTTCCCTTTCTTTCTTCTTATTATTTCTAATTCTATTCTTTAATTGTCTTTAAAAATTCGGTCAACATGCTAGCTAAGATATCTTTCTGACTCCTACCTCCACCACTGACTGGGTCATGCATCATCCAACCCTCTTTCTTTCTTTTCTTTCCTCTTCTTCCCTTAGGATCGTCTAAGTACAATCTTAGTGAATTATTTTCAACTCAATTATTTTCCGTTTTAAAAAAAATCAACAACCTGTTTAGTAAACCGAGTAAAGAAAAAATTAAATCATATTTCTATGAATATTTCTAATAATGCAAGGTGCCACAAAAAGGCCACATATATTTTATAAATAATTATAAAAATATTTTGCATCAATCTCTTGTTTAAAAAATCCAATATTACTTATCAGTTTCTACCTATAGCCCGTTAATGTCCATCGTCCGCAAAATTGGACAGTGAACATTAAGGTGTTAATACGTTTGGCTACAATGTACTGCTTCGTCTACTTCTTAAACTTTGAGCCCGGTTTGCCGGTGGTAGAGAACAATAACGTAATACCCAGCCACCGGTTGAACGGTAGATAAACACTTGCGTCGTGTTTTGCTATTGGTTGTCTTATTTTCATAAGAGCCAATCAGAAAAGACGTAATATTTTCATGTCATCGAACGTTACACCAACATGTCCACGCCTTTTCTTTGTGTTTTGTGCATGTGTTTTGGATTTTAAAAAAATGAAGCGTGCAGAGTCTCAACCTGGACTATCAGGGAAGCAATCAGGAAGTTATATTTTTTGTATCTATTTTTATATCTACCGTGAAACAATACATACCAATTGCGAATTTTAACTCAGGAGATCGGGCAGAAGGGTTAAAATTGTTCAGGAACGCAGTGCTCATAGAGTTAATGGTTACGGACAAAAATACATTATCGTATTTTAGTATTATGCAGATTATAATACAAAACTTACGATATATAACGCGTGATATACGAACGTTATTGAATAAGATAGCTAGTGAGTGTTAATAGACATTGTATCATATCTGAAATGGTATGAAAAATGTAACTGAACAGATGTAAGTTTAATAGTAATGAACTTTCGAGAAATGTAGTTTCAAAGACATTTTAAATGCCATCAATACGATACAGACATAACAATTTCGAATTGGCCGGTCTGTCATTTCGCTTGTTGGTATCAGATTAATACAGTTGATACGTGATGATCGGTGATCAAATATCAAGCGACGAGTAAGGTATGAGGAACATGTTTGAATGACCCACCCATAAAATACAGAATTGAGTCGTGTGCTGTATTTTACCAGTACATTCATGTCCTTAAACTACAATTGGATCGTATAACTGTAGTCACAGTAAAAGCAAGAGTTAAATAGAATCGAATAATTGATATCTATAAGCAACAGTTAGAAGAAGTTTATTTTCTTCATTCCATATTGTTTGTTTGCTTTTAAACAAGCTTGGGTATCCTATCTCTCTGGCAATTCTGTAAATTCTTTTTGACAGTTCTCAAAAGACCGGAATAATGTCGATTTAAAAGTTCTCCTTAAACCTCTGGGAAGAGCTATTTACCAGAGCTTGAAGAACTTTAGGGGATATATTTTTATGCATCGTGGAATCTTTCTGAACTGTATGGGCCACTCATCGGGATATTTGGGCCAAAAGCAGGAAGTCAGAATTACGATTCATTAATAAATTCTATGGAGAATTCAGTGCAGAAGAAAGGTAATAGAGGATTCATGATTCGAATATGAAACTAATCTTTGTATAACGTTTATTTAAAGCCAGGGAAAGATAAAGAAGATTAGAAAGGATAAGGAAGTTCGGATGAGAAGATACAGATGGAATATGAGAGTAAAACAGATGAATAAGATAAACAATATTCGTTGTATTGAAAGGCTAAAAGACTGACCGAGAAAAAATGAAAAGAAAATGATAATATACAATATTGGAAGAGAGTCAGGAGAAAGTCAGAAGATATTTGAAAACTGTCTTACAATAGTAACAGTATATGATAACGGATAACCTTAATCATCAACAGCCATGTAATGTCTCTGTTACAGCGAGTAAACATAATTTTCACTGATAGTTTTTGTTTTTGCTTTTTTTTTTGTTTTATTTACTAAAGTTAGTTTCGGTGTCTACTACGAACTACTTTCAAAAAGTTAAGCAACATTAAAAAATGGCTGTTATTTATCAGCAAAATCAAATTGCGCAATGGAAAACATTTCAAAGTTAAATTGCCATAACAAAACACACAGAAGCGAGAACGCAAAAGTTGGGAATGTTTCAGCGGTGGCGGGTGGGGGTACTAGAAAATGGCAGATAATAGAAATTTTGCGGAATTAGTAGCGGAAAATAGAAGAAATATTTGCAGTGGAAAAACATCACATTTTTTTCAAGGCATGTCTCTTCGTATAAATACTAACGGCATTTGACTTAGGTTCCCTATTATACGCGGTTTGGCCCGCTAGTGTTTCAGTTAACCGTTTCGTGAGTTTTAAATAATAATTGTCGCAAAGCAATATTTATTTAACAAGAGAAACCACAAAAGGATTCCTTTAAATCAAAAGCTGAAAATTCAAAAGAGAATGAAAAGAAAATTACGGCCAGTATAAATGAATTCCAATCGAGTCCCTTACATTCACTTCTTCTCCCCTCACATCTATTGGTAAATAGCAGGACAGACCGGGTTCTATAGCCTTTGATGGCAACTGATCTACCGCAGAAAGAAATGGCAACCTACTGCGGGAAAAAAAATCTGCCTCGTCAGTCATGTATCGAAAGATACATGATCGCCTAAGCGTGTATCACGCATAGCACATAACTGACTGATAACTATTATCAGCAGTGAAAGAGCAATTTTTGAGTAGCTAGTCTGGTGCATTAGCATTCAAACTAAACCCTTTTAGAAAATCATTATTCCCTTTGTCGAACGCTCATATCTGCTCGAAGCATATCTTAACGTAAACAGTTGATATCATATATTATGAAATAGACTAAGTCTGACAATTTATACGTTATTTTTATAGATACAAATATTTAAGTAAATGCTCTGTATTGGCTACATGCTCTGCCAGTGTTATTTCTGTCATCCCTCTGCAGAGCCATGTCTCTGTTGCATCATGTTTCCTCGTCATCTGCAAAGACGCTTAATAAATGTTCATCCATTCTTGATCAGATTCTTCACTAAAGTAATTATGTCCTAACAACTGTAATAATTGTCGTATCACAAAATTAAGCGTGTTCTAAATTTTGCTTAGTACAATGCAAAAACAAGCAATAATCTTCACAAATCGTCTATGATTAAGAATAGACATCTGTTATTTAGATGATAAGTTTAGATAATTTTGTAACATTGGCTTTAATAAGACAACACTTTTTCTTCTATTTTTAATATGTACAGACAACATCTTTGTGTTCCGTTGTCAACTCAGTCATCGATTCTATCTTTGTACTGCCTTTTGTGTTGTTCCAGTGACAAAGAGATTTTATCAGTTAACAACAAAACCTTTGTGTTTTATTATATTTATCTGTCTCTTTACTCGGGCAATTTTCAAAAAATGATTGCTTTAACGGTATCCCCAGACAAAGGGAATAGAACAAAACTTGTGTGGACATCATTCAGAATCATATCAAGAATATATTCTAATATTCTTGTTTACGAACATGTTCTTTAAAATATGTTGAACTTTTTACTTCTTTTATGTGCTTGATCCGTTCAGGACGTTGGTGATCATGGCTTTTCTTATCATTTGTCATTTTTAACAATATTAATCCCCCGACTATTCATCTCTGTTCCTGGTCAGTAATCCATTTAATCGACTTCGTTAGATATGTTATTTGATCTTTCTGTCAGTCTCTCTTGCCTACACTATAAACCCTACTGATACACTATGTAGAAACACTTACTCTTTGTAAATCTCTGCTCCACGTTGGGGCGTCCACAAATGATTTAAAGCCGTTCTAGGTCTAAACTTGGTATCGTTCTGATCATCGTTGTTGGATATTTCATGCAGTTATTCTAACCATTGTATTTTCATCCCATTTGGACGATAATCTTATCAGCTAAAGTCCATATCTTGTTGAGACACCAGTTCCTGTATGATCACCGAAGTTAAGCAACGTTGAATCTGATCAGTAACTACATGGATGACCGCTTGGGAATACCAGGTGCTGTAAGCTTGGATGTGCGGGAGGTGTAATAGATACTGGCTCGGAATTGTTAATCGCAGGGCCGAGTTTCAATTCTCATTAGATTCGTTACATGCCCTTACGCGCAAATAAACCTGAGAAAGGTATGACCCCCCCTCTTCTCACCTAAGCTATGGTTTAATTAGTTAGAATTGCACTACTAAACTGTTATTATCTTCAATAAAAAAATCTTACCATCTGAAAATATTTTATGGCTTTAAATAACCTGCAAAAGGTTGGTAAACCGTAAAAAATGAATCTATCAATTGCCTTCACTATGTTCTGCGAGTGACAGATTCTTAAAGCACTTTTTCATCATTATCTTCCCCATAAATTTCTAGTGTTACTTTCTGATTTTAATCCTAAAAATTCTTTTTTCGTTCCATTTTTCTGAAGAATTCATTTCTCCCATATTCAGTTCATGGTACCCTTCTGTACAACATCATCTCTGTTGCTTCATGTCACCTCTTTATATGCGAGGGAAATTACCTCGCATTCATACAACTGGTATTATTTTAGGCAGTTCAACACATTTTCTTGGTTTCTAAGGTAAATTCTCTTCTTGTTTTAAAGAATTTATTTAGTTTTTGAAAGCCATAGTTCATTATTCCAGTGCACCTTCGCATTTGGACATCACTTTTTCTGTCGCCATTTGTAAGTACTACAGGTTCTTAAGATTTTAGATTTTGATAAAAAGCCACATTTGCAAATATTTTTTACCTAATTATTATGCAACCTGCGGCAAAACGGCGTGGTATCATGAGCAGCAAACTGAATTTGTAAATCAGTTGTAATGAGATTGTCCTTACTGGCTACCTTCCTCCTGAACATGAGCTAGCAATTAGTTTTCTAGTCTAGATGACCAGTAATATATTATTGTCTTGTCGATCGTCAATGGGTACTAAAAAACTACTTATGAATATTTATTATACTAATAGGTCTAACTTTTCTTTTATAATTATAATTATTTAAAAGTAGATAAAAATGAAACACTAATAATGTTAGTATACTAATAGTGAATAAGTTAGAATTTGGTATATTTAAACGAAGTTACGACCGTTTTTTGTCACTGCCCACTGACCCTACCGCTACTTCGTCACTCACCCGGTTTACTGAGTTTATTTCTTAACAAACACGATAGGTTTAAAATTAAAGGCCGAAATGGAATTTTTGTATAGCACAATCTGTTTTTCAACATCCGCATGAGATGCATTCTTCAAGAAGAAAGGGATTATCAATGTTCAGGAATTAAAAAAAATATGATTTGTATAAAGGAAATTAATTGCTATTAATTTTTGAGTATAGGAATGCATTAAAAATAAGGAAGAAAGTCATTGGTAGTTGTTAACAATAATGTCAAGCATATCATACAAAATAGATATATTACATGTATAATAGAAATGTATTGATTATACAGTAAAAACACAATTCATTTTGTTAAATGGCTTCGTCAGGTCGAGACTTTCATGCGTTTACCATGTATGACGCCAAACACGTACAAGAATATTTAAACTTTCAGTTGTATAACGTCGCTTTCTCAGATCAATCGTGAAAAATGGCTTCGACTGAATGAAGTTTGTGGGTGTAAGCGAGGACTATATTTCTTTGAACTTGGTCGACTGGCACCCCAGTATCGCAGACAAAGGAAATCACTAAATAACAGAAACCACCTCATTTGAAGACTCTCAACAGACGCAGGAAGTAAGATGGATATCACTTTTATGTCTAAGAGAAAATAATGACAATGAAGATGATGACATTTTACACCACTTCAATCAAAAGGACAGTACAGAAGTCTACATTAATAAATAATGACATAATCAAGATATTGACTGGAAAGAGAGATAACTTGAAGAAGGTATTCTCCTGAAAAAAAAAAGATTTTATAAATTTCAACCAACAGAAGTTTAGTCAATGGATGCCGAATCTTAACTTATAAGGAAACAGCTACTAAATTTATTAGTCTGGAATTCAATCAAACCTTATTGAAAGAATAGACTTAATTTTCTGGGATCCTGAAATGTACTTATTTCTATCTGTAGGCGTGAATAATTACAAATTGGACATTAGTGTAATGAACACTAACCGTGAAAACGGGACTGCACACTTTGTTTCAGTTCTACCTGAAGGCTGTATGTATTTGTTTCATCAGAAAATTATAAATTCACTTTTCGTAGATTGACAAAGGAAGTAAAATATCTACTTATCAGTGAGATTGTAATAGAATCTGAGCAAATAATTTTTTCATACTAATCATTTTCTTCTTTCAGGACACGGAAGGTGAAAACTCTCCAAAATTTCCTGTTTTTCTTTTGTCGAAGTAACACTTGTCATTCTCCAGCTTTTTGGGGTTTTTCTTATAGTAGTCCTTCTTCTGTTATCCATTTTGTCAGATTTCTTTTTCAGATTTTAGCAAAAACAAATCCCAAGAAAAGCCGTTACTTTCATAAACAAACATAGCAAGGTCATACCTTCATGTGGACAAAGAAATTGCAACCACAAACTTAGCTAAGGAAAGTGTCAGGTAGAGTGTATGTTTGTAAACACATTGAAAAACCTCCAATATCCTTATTATTTCATCAACAATGCTAAGAGAAATGCATACAAAATATACAACCACCAAAAAAGATAACAACGTTATTAAAAACAAAAAAAAACAATAAAAACAGGCACAAAATACTACTTAATAATTACATAATATTTAGATTCAAAACAATCGATACAATTTAAATAACATCAAAATAATAACAACACCCAAAACTATTATGTATATGATATAATCAAAAATATCCATAACAATAATAATTCTAAAGTAAGTATATATAAAACTAATTGTCAGAACTTGTGTCTACTAAAAAAAAAAGTTTTTACTTCGTTACTTAAAAGTCGAAATCTAAAAACGAATACCTTGTTAAATACAATCATGATAAATACAAATATATACATTATATACAACGCAGATAAAGTTACATAGTTTTAACAACGTCAATGCCTTAAACTAAAAAAATAAAATAACCAAACTTCGAGAAGGAAATAAACAAAATATCTAAATGAATGAATATACAAATTAAGTAAATATTTTTGAAAAATTGACAAACTGCAAATTCGAAAATAAACAAAAGTACATATATTAATAATAATCAACAACAAATAAGTAATCAATATTTAGCAAAATGTTAACAAACATAATTATAACATAGCTACAAATTGTTGCATTCGGATCCACAATAATTCATAGACTATAACCACTAGAATAATAATAATTCATAGACTATAACCACTAGAATAATAATAATTCATAGACTATAACCACTAGAATAATTTGAAATATAACCGTTACCATCGACTCATGAACCATGAGGATAATTCTTTAAAACTTGATACGCATAATATACCATTTAACAGTATATATAAATAGTGGGGCCAAAATACAAAACAAGAAATAGATCATCACCGATTGGTGTTGCCCTCAGTGTCCAATTTTAAATTTGTATATATGTGCGTATGTGAGTGTGTGTCGATATACTTTCATCTTCTTAAATATTCATAAATATTTGAAATCAAATACGAAGCTCAAAATAAGAATTCTTCTATATCGATAAGGTACGTTTGTTGTTTTTTATAAGATAGCTTATCTATTTCATTTGCGGTGAATCGTTACAGCTTTTTTTACGTTTCCCTCCTTTCTTTTTCTTGTGTCTCACTCGAAATTATCATGGGGGATGGGGGTGGGAGAGCGGAGCAGTTGGGGGATATCGAAATAAAGTCAAATTTTAATGCACGTGCACGAGCGTATTAATTTGAAGGAATTCGGAGTTTTTTTGAATTTTTAAATATATGTATTTTCATCTCGGAATTTTCCAACATAAAAAAAAACTGAACTTACTGCAATAAAGATTATTTTGCCGATAAGTATTTCCCAGATATCTTTTACTATAAAACATTGTTCTTTTCGTAAAAAAATGTAGATGAGCATCTTTTAAAATTTCTTTTCGTTAATATTTATTTACTTTTTAAGATTTTTCAGCACAATTAGTCGATTAATATAAGAAAATAAATTCCTCACCGTACAGTAATGAATAGTCAACTAGTTTTACTGACACTTACGACTGTAATGCGTTCGTTTCTCACAAGGTGCTACAGTATTTTAAATCTGTTCTAAATTAAGCTAAAGTATAATTGGCGCAGTATAATCTTCTTCAAAACTGCTTTGTAGATATTTGAGTATTTTTACCAAAGCTTAATGTTTGAGGTAAAAGCTAGAAATTCGAATGTTACGAAAATTGATTTTCAAGTGAGGTAAGATCGCATTTTTTTAATGTTTCCTGGAAGACAGGGCAATGATCTAGGAGGTCACTAATGTGCGAGGATGGGCTTCTTGAAGAGCGAGTGAAGTATATATATATATATATATATATATATATATATATATATATATATATATATATATATATATATATATATATATGTCGTCTTCATCAGATCAAAAAAACGAAAGAAAAAACATGTGTATTTGTGTGTATGATTAAATAATAAATCGATAGTATTTTTTTTCCGGTAAGCTGGCATTTCTCGGGATGAAAGAAAAGAATGAAAATCGGAGACTTTTATGAAACCCGTTAATATTTATTCTCTATCGTTTCTTTAAAATTCTTAGTTCACACCGAAATTTATTTATATATTCTCCCAGATTTTCTGTACTGAATTTAAGTTAAACCGACATCTTATTTTCAGAAATAACGGAAAAACGTAGTAATTTTTTACACCCAAATGCATACACACGTATTCTTTCTTTTTTTTGGCGGGTGGTCTGATGAAGCCTAGAAAGGCGAAACGCGTAATCAAAACTAGTTTCAACGAAACAGTTTTCCATTGGTCATATTTCTTTAAAACATTTCCGGTATTGTGTATCCTATTTTATGCACATATGGTCGACACTTGAAAACTCATAGACAAAACTAAAAACATTGGTATATATATATGTGACGT